ACGCTCTGTGTGGTTTGAGCTCTTTAACATAGCATTTTTCACACAAAGCTTTTAATAAGAAATCAGTAAACAAGTTCACAGCTTCTTTTTTCAGAGAAAAACAACTTTTTAGACGAAGGCACAAGATTCAACCGTGAATTTTTGGAGCTTCGACAAGACGGCGTTTTTTTCCCCGAGGTCGGCCTGTTAGCTTAGCTCGTAGCTTAGCTTCTCAGCTTAGCTGCTTTTAACGATCCAAAAACACAATTTTGGACGTTTAAAACAGATTTTAAAGAGAAAGGAAGGGGTCCATGAAGAGCACCGGAGTTGAACCTTGTGTCATCCAGTGTCTTCAGTAGAAAGAGAGACACAAAGAAACAATAAAAGCCGATAAATGAAAATGAGGTCGATAATTTTCATTTATTATGCGATTAATTGATTTATTGTTTATTGTGACAGGCCTAGCCTAGTCAGAAACGGTAAATTTATCCGGAAAAAAGTTTGAAAGCACGCTGTGAGATGTTGTTGCTTGGTAAATACGGTTTTATTCCAGTGGATTTAAGATCTGGAGAAAAATAGTTTAGATGATGTTGTTCAAATGTGATGATTCTGCTCGCTCTGCTGCAGGCGGACACAATCCTGCTCTGCGTTCAGCAGACAGGCTGCTTGTTTGTGTAGATGCCGCATGGTAAACAGTGGAGACTGACTTTAGTGCTGAAGCCATTTTGTGGGGTTCACTAGCTGCTTCCAATGCTTGTTGTTTTTACTGTTTGTAGAAATGTTTTTTATGAACCAAGATTCTGACATGTCTGTGCCAACGTCTGCGTTTAACTAGGAAAACGTATGCTAATGACAGTAGGGAAAAAGTTAAATTCTGGGGCTTATCCAGAGATGCAAAGCTTGGCAAATCCTTCAAGACTCAAGAGCACTGTGTTGAATGCTTTAACAAATTCAATGACATTTAAGGAATGGACTCCAAAGTTAAAGTGCATTCCATCGTACACCAGCTCTGGTGAAAACACCAGTGTGTTGGTAGTTTGTGCAGCTTTTAGTAGCTTCTGTGTGGTGTGGTGTTACACAGCCACTCCCAACTGCCTTTTACACCAACAGTCACATGTTTCTATGCATCAAAGCTCACATTTGGTTGGGCAGCATGTAAGTCAGCGGCTTTCTACAACTAGACACTAGATGCCAGTATCTGCTCCACACTGAACCCTTTAAATCACCCGGCTGTGCTAAGTACATCAGTCAGAGCTTTAAATAATGGTCTACTTCTGGTTTCATGAAAACAATGGTTTCATCACCTGGAGATTTGTTTTGTGTAAATATTGCTGTTTCTAACTATAATATACAGAAGAAAAAACATTTAAACTGTGCAATTATTTTGCTTTCCAGCAATGCGGGAAGATTACCTTGCCAGGCTTTAATTAGTGAACTTAATGAGTCATGCTGAAATACTTGAAATACTGTTGGATCTGATGGCCACCGGGCCAAAACAAGTGCAGATTAGTTTACACCTTCACCATAAACCAACAGAAAATCAGCTCACTGCAATGCTTTTTAAGGACGGAGGTATTCAAGTTTTGTTAGTGATTGCAAAACAGGGGAAAGTTAAGGCCACCCAGTCAATCTGAACACATGCAGCAGTCTAACCTGCATGACCTGTTGATGTGGAAACACACACGCTTGCATCTAAAGCTGCTGCAACAATGCTAAAAATCTGTACAATATTTAAATACTATATTTACAGAAATAAACAGACATCATTTGGCCTGCAGGTTCAAAATGTTAAAGCAGGCAGGAAGCGTTCTACCAAAGGCTGATCAGAAGCATTTCAACTAATAAAAGCTGCAATAAAAATATTTGAGCTCGTCTTGCTTCACAGATTAAAACTTCAAGCACGGTTCACAGTTTTTTTATTCAGGTTGTTCTGTGGTTAATATGAAAGGACCATACTGGCTGTTTGGCACAATTAGACTTTTGATTAAAAGTCTGACCTTTTTCAGACAAATGAGAAATTATTTTTCTTTTCATTTATTTTTAAAGCAGCACAGAAGTGGGCTTTAATTTAATAAAGGTTTTTTTATGATGAATGTGTACCAGTAGATGTCAATGAAGAAAACAAGGTTTAGTTGTGAGTGAAGGCTACTGAAGTAGAAAAAAGTTTCAAAACTATTTATCAAAAATCCCTGGTTGTTGAAAACAAGTCTAATCTCCTGATCCTTTTTTAAAAGATGGGTGATGTAATATCCAGGTGGACTGGACACTGGGACATGAACTTGTAAGGAATGCTTTTGTGTTACCTGCTGCTGTCTCCACCGTTGAGTTTAGGTCCATTTGTGTTTCCACCACGTTGTATTTTTGCAGCTTTGGGCACCACGTCACGTGCACATAAAAAGAAACAGCTGCCACAGGTTTCTTTGTACTCACCCTGGCAGCCGTCCCAGTGTCAAAGGTTAATCAGTTTTATTCTTACTGTATATCCTCAGCTTGCTCAGGACATTTTTACACACTGCAACGAGCTGCTTCATCACTGACATCTGCTGGATAAAACAGCTGACAGCATGGAGAAACAAGCATTTTAGTTTTTTGGGTCAAGACTGATCAACCAGCTCAGTGCAGATGATTTAATGTAAAAGGCCTGCTTATCACTGTCTCAGGAAATGCTTCAAAAAGACGTGTCTAAAGCAGGGGTCTCCAGCATGTAGCTCTTTTCAAGTAGCTCTTCAAAGGTTGATACAAAATTTGTAGTCAAATTTGATTTGTCACCTGGCAGACAAACATTTATCCAATGCTCCACCTCCTTCTTACACTAAAGGATTATTTGATCATTAGTTGTCAGTCAGACAGTCACGCTGCTGTCAAGCTCCATGAGTCAGTGATGATGTGAGACAGGCAGCCCTCAGCAAGTAGCTGTCTCACTGAGAGACAAAAACATACTGTTGCTATGAGTGGGAAACAGTTTTTATTCTACAAATGTTTCCAACATGTGTGTCAGATCTGCGCTGCTGTTAGTTGAGAAAACGTGGAGCGGCATTTTACCAAAGTTCACAACTTGTTGTGAAACTTTCCTCCAGGTACCAATCTTCAAAAAGACAAGGTTATGGAGCTAAAAGCCACTTCTGAGGCAACCATCCTTTTTCACCCACCTCACAAAGACCATCGGTGCAGCAACAGAAGCTTCGTTTAGACTGGCCCTTCTCCGGTGGCGGGTCTTTAAAGGAGGTTTTGGCAGCGGTGGATGAAACTCTCTTCCAGAACCATAAAATGTAAGACGCATTTTATCTGCTGCTGCTGATAAAATTGTTGCAAGGTGAGTGTGTGTGTTTTCTGTGGATGCACTTGAACAGCTGGAATCTGAGCTGGACAAGAGCGAATGTTTCTCAATTCATCGTGACGAGTCTGTCATACACCCCCGCTGGCTGTTTTCATTCAGATGGTGTTTGGAGACTTTTTCACCAAAGGACAGTTTTTAATCTTACTCCCTCTAAAAACAACAACCAAGAGACTTGATTTTTACTCTGCTGTGAAGGACGACTCTGCAGGTAAAAAGGTCCTGTTGTTTCTCACCTGTCAACAGACCCGAGCCCACCCCCCACCACCCCACCCTGTCGACAACTGCCGGCAGTGACGTAGTTCTAAGCTAGCAGCGCTAAATACAAACACGTTAGCTAAAAAGCTATGATTATGGAGGCAGAGCTCCTCCCTCCCTCACGCTGAGCCATCTCCACCCCCCACACCCTCTGCTCAAAAACTGTCGGTACAATAAGCGCACACCAAAGATGTCTCTCCTCCCCGTTGACAAAAATCATAGAAGATGATGATCGCCCTGTCAAGGCAAGTAACCGAGGGGAAACTCTGGACACCAACATTTTGAAAATGTCCAGACAAAACAAGCTCATTTCAATGGTTTGGGTGAAAATAGGTTATAAATATAAATGTTACAAAACATGAGTAGCTCTTGTCCGTTTTCAGATTTTAAAAGTAGCTCTCAAAGGAAAAAAGGTTGGAGACCCCTGGTCTAAAACAATCTATATTGTTCTGATTGCAGGGAGCTACAGCCTACAACATGTGCACATGGTCAGTGTACGGGCGCTACATTCAGTACGCAATTACTTCATACAAAATGGCAACCACTAAGTACAAGGTGACCAACAACCTTGCTGTTGTCTGCTTATTGCAGGTTTATCTCAGCTATAATGTTGATTAAAATAGTCAAACTTGGTGAGAAAAAACCCCAAAGTGTAATTTTCCTCTATAGGTTAACCCTAATGTCTCACAACAAATACTTTGACAAATGGAAGAAAGAAATGTTTGGACGTGGAAAAGCCCATCAGCCTTCTGGTTTGGCAAACAACATGTTAAAACTGTCATTTCCTAACTCTGTGTAATAAACAGTAGAAGAAAGTGAACTTTTAGGATAGTTTGATTATTTACTGGCCACTTCAAGAGCTGAATCATGCAAAACAAGCAGTATGGCCCTCAGAACTGCAGCGAAAAGCAGCGAATGTAATCTTAGGGAAATACTGACAGTATCATGTGGTTGTAGTACATTTCATCGAAGCAAGTTATCATTAAGCGTAATGCCTTTAATGCTTTTATGTGTGATGCCTATCAGACAACTGTATAACCCAGTGTCATTAATGAGATGCAACACTCTGCTTTAACAAAAGGAAGGCAGGTGTGTAATTATGAAGGGAAATCAGAGCGCGTCACTTTGATAGCCTTTATCTGGAACGAGCAGCGAGAAGACATTAACTATAATAAAACATGGATCAAACTGTAGATTCCTTTTATAAGTTTTCCCTTTTGAAACATGAATAAACAAAGCAGGTGATTGAACATGGAAAATTAACAATGACGTGACAAACCTAAAACAAATTAATGTGTTTCAAACTCTCAGCTGCTCCTGAAAATAAGCGCCTACTAATTTCTTTAACCGAAACTGAACTTTGAGATTTTTCCACATTAGCACTTTCCAGTAAATATCTTTAGCTTATGTGTGTGTGTGTGTGTGTGTGTGAGAGTGTAAGCTGTTTAGATTTTTTTCTTCTGCTTCTAGGAGTTCTGCTACTTGAACTTGAATATGGCCTTCTTAATGACTTAAAAAGTCAATGCTAGCTTTGACGGTGCGTCCTGTAGACACATCCACCGCCATGGCTCGAATCTCTGTGTCACCGAACTGCATGAGCGTCTGGATCTCGCGTCGCGTCGCCGTACTTTCTGTTCCACTCACGTCTAAGCGAAGTGTCCCACACTTCTTGACTCCAGGCTGGCTGATGAAACCCACACTCTCCTTCTCCGAGCAGTAGACATGAATGACGATCACCTGCTGGGAAGGCTTCGCTGGTGTGTAGCTTCGCTTTACCATCTCGCCCAGCGCCACGGACTGGTCAGCAGAGATGAAGGTGTCGAAGACATCAGTGCACCAGCGCGTCCCGTCCTTCACCAGCAGTTTCTCTGGTGGGTGTTTGCCCTCCACAAAGCGATTGAGGACACCTACCCCGTATGTTAGGGGCGAACGGCGGACTTTGATGACGCTGGGGTCCAGGCCGAAGAGCACGGCACCTTTCAGGATGGTTAGGCCGACATCATGGGGGATGATAATTCGGCTGCGGCCCTGAAGCATGTTCTGGACGGCTTGTTGCAGCAGAGCAGACTCAGCAAAACCTCCAACTAGGAACAGGAACTTGATGTCGCTGACCTCGGGCTTCTCAAAGAGCTCAGCTGAAAAAAGACAACCCCAACGAAATAAAATAACAAAACAAAACCATTTATTGTAACAATCTACTCAATTACCAATTTAAGACTTGCTTTTCGTGCTTTGGTGAAAATCTGCACAACTCTGGCTTATTTCTTTTAAGGCCTGAAAACTTTTAGTCAAGACCACAAAGCCCACATGAAGGTTTGGCCCGCATGAAGCTTCCTCCGCAAGCTGAGAAGAGCGAGAGCCCCCACCCCCATCATGACAACCTTCTACAGGGGGGCCATCGAGAGCATCCTGATGAGCTGCTCCACTGTGTGGTACGGGGCCTGCACAGCATACTGCCGCAAATCCCTCCAGCGGATCGTGAGGACAGCTGAGAAGATCATTGGCACCTCTCTCCCCTGCCTTCAGGACCTCCACAGCTCTCGCCTCAGAAGTAAAGCCCTCTGCTGGGTGGGAGATCTTGACCACCCGCTACACTGCTTCTTCAACCTGCTGCCATTAGGGCGGAGACTGCGTAGCCTCAGTTCTAGGACCAGCAGACTGTGGAACAGCTCCATCCATCAGGCCGTGAGGATGCTGAACTCTCTGCCTGCCCCCCCTCAGCCCCCTCTCCC